TAAATCTCCATGACCTCTACTTCTGTCTCAAATTAGTCAAAATTTTGAACACACGTACTGTCAGAAGTAGCATGGCTATATTTACTGCAATTCTGAACAAAACCATGCTAAACCAGAAAGTTCCTTTGTGACTAGAATTCCTTTATCATAGGAAAAAAAAAAGTTATATATTGTAATCCTTTAGATAGCTCAGTGTCAATGCGCACTGAATTTACAGACTCTATTATTTCATAAGGAAACATTTCTCTTTATATCATGTTTGATCTACATTAATGTTTCTCAACAAAAGACACATTGAAAGACTTGTATGGGACCAATGTACAGAGTAAGTTTTTACAGTTTCAGTTAATTTCAAGGTGCTGCAAGCCTGTAGAGTACGTAGGTGACTAAAATGCTTACTATACCTTGCCATATATTAATGCAACTCACATATTGAAGATGAACTCCTAAAATAAAGAGAGAAGGTGGTCCTGGTTTCTAATATGAATCCCATTTTTTTGAGTTCCTGTGTCTCAATCACTGGCAACTCCTATATTACATAGTACATAAAAGAGCATTTTAAACCTATCTTAAATTAGTGCAGAAGGATGCTACCAATGCTCCTGCTATTGAAAGGTGATCTCTGGCACCTATTTTCTAATTCCTAGAACTGTTTCTCTATGTAAAATGTGATATGCATCACTATAACAGTTTAAAAGCTGGTTGGATTAGTTGTGGCTTTTTCTTTTCTTTTGATGCCACATATTAAAATAAACATCTCTCATTTGTTTAGTTAGAGCAACCGAAGAAGTGGTAAGACCCAGCATACTGACAAAGTCTGAGATTATCCTCTAGAGTTACATTCTGCTTTTCAGTTGTCAAAACATATAACAAGCACTTCTAGTAAATACAAAAGTAATCTTGACAGATTTGGAATCTTTTGGATGTAGGATAGAAATTAATTTGAAATATACATTCTAGGAAATTAAATCTAATATCTCATCCATTGTTATTCAGCCTCTGTGCTCCATCAGTCCAGTTAAACTCTAGGGATAAAATATTAATTTAAAAGTGTAACTAATTATTAGGCTTCTCTTTAGCACTATGTAAAACTTAAAAGAAACTTTTTTCTTCTACTTCACTCTTAAAGACTTCCTTCCCACATCATTAACTCTTAAAGCTACTTCCACAAAAAGGGACGGGTTATAAGAGAGGAAAATACTAAGAATAAGTAAATCATAGGATGGTTTGGGTTGGAAGGGACTTCAAAGTTCATCTAGTTCCAACCCCCCCTGCCACGGACAGACACACTTTCCAATAGATCAGGCTGTCCACAACACCCTCCAACTTGGCCTTGAACACTTCCAGGGAGGGGGCCACCACAACTTCTCTGGGCAACCTGTGCCAGCATCTCACCACCCTCACAGTAGAGAATTTCTTCCTTGCATCTAATCTAAATCTATCCTTTTCCAGTTTAAAATCATTACCTCTCATCCTGTCACTCACTACACTCCCTTACGAGTCCCTCTCCATCTTGCCTGTGGCCCCCTTTAGGTACTGGAAGGCCGCTGTGAGATCTCCCCAGACGCTTCTCTTCTTCAGGCTGAACAACCCCAACTCTCTCAGTCTGTTTTCTTAAGAGAGTTGCTCTAGTCTCCTTCATGGTCCTCCTCTAGACCCACTCAAGCAGATCTAGGTCCTTCTTATGTTCGGTGTTCCAGACTTCATTATAAGGATTCTATAAGGCAGATCAGAAACTCATGGCTTTTTAAGCATAACCACATTCATAATGATCACATTGTTCATGTAATCTTGTTGTAAACATCAACTTTCAGCTGTGTTGAATGATTTGTTCAGCCATTAATTGCTCACAAGATGTTCTGTACTCTCTCAAAGGATATTTCTTTCTACAGAGGGTTGTTAGAAACTACCATTTTTGGTCAAGGTTTGATATTAAGCAATTGTATTGAAAAACATGAAGTTTCTTCTAAAAACTTTATTTTTTTATTACTGTATAATTTGTTGTCATGAGTCCGATTTAAAGGATTAAATAAGAATTTAATATGGTACAATCACAGAATAATTTAGGTTAGAGGAACTTCTGAACATCATCTAACCCAATTCCCTGCTCAAAGCAGTGCCAGCTTCAAAATTAGATCAGGTTATTCAATACCATGTCCAGTCAAATTCTGAGCATCTCCAGGGATGGAGCAATGTTCAGAATTTCAATCACCCTCCCTGTAAATAATTGTATTCCTTACATCTAGTCAGAATTTACCTTTCTGCAATTTAAACTGTTGCCATTCATCCTACTGTTTTGCAGCTGCAAGAAGATTTTCACTCTGTCTTCTCCATAACGCACATTTAGGTGTCTGGACACAGCGGTTAGTTTCCCCCAAACCTCAGTCCTTCTCCATGCAGAACAAATCCAGTTCCCTCAACATCTCCTCACCTGTAATGTGCTTCTGCCTGCTAACCTTCTCAATGGCCCTTCACTGCACTTAGCTGCAGTTTCTCAATGTCTGTCTTCTACCAGAGAGACCAAGTTGTGTGGTACCACAATTGCCAAATAGAGAATGACTACTTCCCATGACCTGCTGACTTTGCACTTGCTGACACAGCACAAGACACCTCTCTGCCCACTGATGTTCATCTTGTTCTGTACATCTTTTTCTGCAAAACTGCTCCCTAGTGAGACAGTGCCCAATCTCTGCTGTTGCATGTGGTTTTTCCACCTCATACACAGGAAATTTTTACCATTTAGAACCTAATATGGTTTCTGTCAGTCCATTTCTGAACAGCCGCCCTGCCCTCCAGCATATTTGACCAACCTTCCCAATTTGGTGACATCTGTGAACTTCTCCAGGGCTGTGCCCCACCCCATCATTCATGTCCCTAAAGGGGACACTAAAGAGTACCAGCCCCAGTACTAACTCCTGAAAAATGCTACTAATAACTGACCACAAATTAGACATTCAGTTGCTGACTGCTACTCTTTGAGCTCAGCTATTCAACGTAGCTGTGTTGAAGGCTTTGTTAGAAGTCCAAGTAAACAACACCCACCATGCTCTCCTTACCCACAGAGTCAGTCATCTCATGACAAAAGGCAACCAGGTTGTTCAGGTGTGATTTTTCTTTGGTGAATCTCAGCTGGTTGCTCAAAGATACTTTCTTGTTCTCTGTGTTCTGGCAAATAGCTTCCAGGAGGATTTCCCCCACAGACTTCCCAGGAACTCAGGTGTGGTGGAGAAATTTCCTGGATTGTCTTCTTTGTCATTTCTGCAGGTGACATGCCTTTTGAAGTCACCAGAGGCCTTCCCCAGTAACTGTAAGTAGAGGGTTACAGATTTTATTTATTTAGGTTATCTACTATATTACTGCAATAAGTACATGCTATGGCTGAGGTTCTCCAACAACATCTCTACATAAAAATGTTTCTGCCTGTTTAGAATACCAGAAAGTGAACTGTAGTAATTTTTTTCTTTTACTGTACTGGTGTTATTATAGTGTTGCTCAGCATTTGTTTCTGTTTTGTTTGAACTATGCCATGGCTGATCTTAAAATAAAGCTGAAATATTATGAAAGGTTTCAGTAGACTTCAGCAGAAATTCCTATTTCAGTAGGATTTCTGGGGAAACAAAACAATTCTGAAACAAGACAGGAAGGTTACAAAGCTTCTCTGGAGAAACATATGTGAACACAACAAGCACCATCTGAAATAGTTTAATCATTATTAAATTTGTATTTTCTAATCTGGATTACTTGGGTAGATAAAAAGGGAAAGAGGGGGAAAGAGAAAGATGGGGCTTGTGGTACCATATATATTAAATCACTGAAAATAAAAGACTAAATGAAAACATGGTCACCAGGAGTTTTGACTGCATCTAGAATAAAAAATGTATTTCTTAGAGACAGTTTCTGAAGCTATACTTTTCTTGGAGCAACTGCCTAAGTCTAGGTCAGATTCTAGCTTCTAATAAACTTCATAGCAAAGGTGACACTTTCACTGCTTGGCTTGTGAAAGTATAAAGTATGCAGAAAAGGGATCAAAACTCCATGATAAGCCTACACTGTAGTACTTATGTCACTCTCATGGGAGCACTTGGACATATAAACATTTTTTCTTCTCAAATTTTTACATAAAGGAAGTCAAGAACCACAGAACTGACAGTGTAGCCTGTATGATGAAGTATCATTTGCTATATTATGTAGCTAGTAGTATAGAATAAAATAAAACAGAGCACTAGAAAGCATAAGTAGCTTTATTTTACTGTATTTCTCTTTGCTCATACTTTTTTGCCTATTTACTCATTAATTTATTTGCTTGGATTTTTGTATTTGTGATAACCTGCTAATCTAGAAAATTATGCATCGGAATATGGGACAATCAGAACTAGCCTGTGTTTATCTCTCACTCCTTGTGTTAGTTTAGAGATATTAAACAGTTTTGCAAATTATTTGAAAAAATATGCATGTATTACATTATTAGTAATTTATTAGTAACTAGTACTAAAGTATGTGGTCAGTACTTCTGGTATCACCACAAAATAAGTTGTTTACACTTCTGATTTAAGAGATGCACATGTTATTGAGTGTACTACAGGCCCATAGAATTCAATCTCATTTAAGAACAAATAAAACTGAAGTGAGATAGATTTTACACCATCTGTTTTTTGAAAAAACATGATAATCAGGAACTCTGAATTACCCTTTAAAAAAGATTGCCTCCCTGGGATTATATTCAAGTCTGTCACAGCGTGAGGGAATGAAAGTGTCGGGCGGAGGTGTAGGAAGCCCTGTGCATCTGCCCTGCTTCAGTTCGATACCCACACCCCGTGAAAAACGCCTTTTAGTGGGAAGATGCAGAGCATCACCTGACAGCTGGGCGCTGCCCACGCCCTGCACCGGGACAGCCCCCGGGACCGGGCAGGCGGTGGACACTGCTCTCTCAGCCCCAGCACGACAAGCAGATGCCACCCTGGAGCTGGGATTTCTCCCCCCTCTGCTTCACCTCGGTCCCTCGCCGCCGTCGAGAGGAGATGTGACTTCAGGTAACCGCACAAATCTCTTCCCAGTGATCCAGCTCCCGACTTCTAACCATCCTCTCTGCGGTTCGTGTTACCTATCTGTTGCTACCTAGATCGAGGCGGGCGCGCATTGACTCACCATCAAGCAAAGAAGCGGCAGCGGCATCCCCCGCCTGCACGGACCCGGGACCCGCTTCCCCCCCCAAGCCCTCCCCCGGTCCTGCGCCCCTCCGGCAGCCCCCCCGCCGCAGCCAGTCTGGCAGAGGTCAGTGCATCCTTCCTCTCCTTCCAAAGAGCTTGGCCCCGCTGGGAAGAGGGGTGGGGGTGGGAGTGTTGCATTTTGGGGACCATCTCAAACTCACCGGCTCCCCCCGAGGGCTGGAATCCTACGGTCCGACCCGACCGACGCCCATCCACAGTGCCTCTGGGCGCCGCGAAGGGCCAGTGGGGGCGACGGCCGGGTCAGACAGCTGGGGTTTCCAGGTAAGCACCATCACCTTGGGGCAGTCACTTTGGGGGAGTCTAAGGCTGGGTGCTGACCCCACACAGCATCCATTGGTGTGGGAGAAGGGAAGGGGCAGCCAGTGAGGGACCATACTCACTCTGGGGGGATAGTGGGACCCTCCGCTGCTGGCTGAGCCCTTGGTGATCTCCCCTTGCTCCCGGCAGGGCAGCAGTGGGCAGCATATGTGAGACCTCGGTGGTTGGATGCACTGGAGGAGACAGGCTTGAGAAGAGCAGGGGTCTCGCTTTTTTTCCCCCACTTCCAAGTCATCTCCATCACTAGAGGGCCTGGACACCCTCTCTTGCAGCCATGGAGAACTCCTCCCTCTCTGAGACCAATTCTTCATGTGCAGACTGCACCGGGAGAGGGGATGGGGGTCTGAATATGTCTGCTCCCCCACTGAGCCCCAGCTTCTACGTCACAGTGCCTGTCATCTACTCAGTCATCTGTGCTGTAGGGCTGACGGGCAACACTGCCGTCATCTATGTAATCCTCAAAGCCCCAAAGATGAAAACGGTCACCAACATCTTCATCCTCAACCTGGCCATTGCTGATGAGCTCTTTACCTTGGTGCTACCCATCAACATTGCTGACTACCTGCTCCTGCAGTGGCCCTTTGGAGAGTTCATGTGCAAGCTCATCATCTCCATAGACCAGTACAACACCTTTTCCAGTATCTACTTCCTCACTGTCATGAGCATTGACCGCTACTTGGTTGTGGTGGCCACCACAAAGTCCAGGAAGATGTCCTACCGCACCTACCGAGCAGCCAAGATTGTGAGTCTCTGCGTCTGGTCCTTTGTCACAGTCATCATCTTGCCCTTCACTGTCTTTGCTAAGATACACAAGGAGCAGGGGCGCTCCCAGTGTGTCTTCGTTTTCCCCCACCCTGAGAGCGTGTGGTGGAAAGGTAGTCGAATCTACACCCTTATTTTAGGCTTTGCCATCCCGGTGTCCACCATCTGCATCCTCTATACCACCATGCTGTGCAGATTGAGACGTGTACACCTCCACTGCAATGCAAAAGCCCTGGATAAAGCCAAAAAGAAAGTAACACTGATGGTGGTTGTCATCCTGGTTGTATGCCTGTTCTGCTGGACGCCCTATCACCTCAGCACAGTGGTGGCCCTAACCACAGACATCCCACAAACTCCGCTCATCATAGGGATTTCCTACTTCATCACTAGCTTGAGTTATGCCAACAGCTGCTTCAACCCTTTCCTGTATGCCTTTCTGGATGACAGTTTCCGGAGGAGCCTTCGCAAACTGATAGATTGCCGAACCACCTCATAAAGTCAACCCTCTGTCCACTCCTGGATTGCCGAACCACCTCATAAAGTCAATCCTCTGTCCACTCCTGTGTTCCTCTCACAGTCATCTGCTCTTTCTTGGTGACTCCAGCCCATAGAGTGCCTCCTCTCCGGCCTCTTCGTGACAGCCCATGAGGTTTCCGATTGTTTAGCTACCCAAGACACAAACTGAGGACAGGTGGATCTTTCTCAACTTTCCTGCACTCATTTCCTCAGCACTGCTCTCAATCTCTTGCCCTGTTTGTTTTTGGTGGTGGTGGTGGTGGTTTTTATAATTCCTTTTCTCTAGTGTGTATTCTGTCCTAGTTTTGTAGCTCACAGAGCTGCAGCAGGTCCCTTTTTTCATAGGTATTGCTTTGTGAAGTCAAGCCACGTAACTGTCTCCATTACCTGTGATTCATAAAGCCCAATAAAGATGTGTTATTGAGTGTCATGGTTAATGATTCCTGTTCTGGTTTTGGCTGGGATAGTTAATTTTCTTAATAGTAGCTAGTATGGGGCTATGTTTTGGACTTGTGCTAGAAACAGTGTTAGTCACTGCTGAGCAGTGCTCACACAGTCAAGGCCTTTTCTGCTGCTCACACCACCCCACCAGTCAGTAGGCTGGGGATGCACAAGAAGTTGGGAGGGGACACAGCTGGGACAGCTGACCCAACTAACCAAAAGTATATCCCACACCATATGATGTCAGGCACAGCATGTAAAGCTGGGGATGAAGAAGGAAGCAGAGGATGTTTGTTGTGACATCATTTGTCTTCCCAACTAACTATTATGCATGATGGAATCCTGCTTTCCTGGAGATGGCTGAACACCTCCCTGCCAATGGGAAGTAGTGAATGCATTCCTTGTTTTGCTTTTCTTTTGCTTTACCTATTAAGCTGTGTTTATATCAACCCAGAAACTTCATTCTCTGATTCTCCCCCCGGCTCCGTCCCACTGCAGGGCAGGGAGTGGATGAGCCACTGTGTGCTGTTTAGCTGTCTGCCAGGTTAAACCACCACAATTACTCAGCCTCTTTCACATCCACAGGGCCTGCTTACCCAAAGTCTTGCAAACTTAGCAACACTGAAAAAAGCACAGTTCCGAAGGATAAGGAATAAATCAAGGTATTGAGTTCATTTCATTTTACAGGGGACTGAGATAAAATAGTCAAAATTCATGATAACAGGCAAGAGAGACCTCAATCTAGCTTTGAGGAAGAAAGAGCAAGCCCTCAGTAGTGAATAAAATACACAGATATGGGTTTAGAGCTACTTGCCGTGGAAGATAGCTTAACAGTGTACTTGGTAGCTGTAGTTTGCAACATTTGCAGCTTTTGTTTGCATCAGAAGTGGTGTTTACTTCTTTATTTGTCATATGTTTATGGGACATCTCCTTCTTGCACCTACAGATTTTTATTTTTTTTTAATCCTAGAAAACAGAATTGGAAGGTGTTTTCAGAACAAGTTAGCCTTTAAGGGTTGAAAAGGACTTGCTGAAATGCAAGGAATATTCTGACCTCTTCCCTACAAATCATAAATAATATATGCAGTGGTTAGGTTACTTTTAACAGTCTCTCACACTTGTACTCTGCTTGCTGGTGAGATTTATTAATATTTCTCTTAAGGAGGACAAAGGAAGTAAAAAAAAAAAAAAAAAAAAAAAAAAAAAAAAACAAAACCCACAAGATTAGGTGTATTTTATCTGGAGGGAGGGGGAGACGGTCAATAAAAGTTTCACTAGAATTCACATGTCCAAAGACTGCATGAGGATATTTTTTCCTCCTCTCCTCTTTCAGCCCTCTAAGGAAAACTGAAAAAATGTGAAAGACTGAGACATTTGTCATCCTAGTGGTCTTTCCTGTTCTTCACTGAAGCAGATCCTAAATCAGTGTAACAGAAATTGTTACGTATTTTTCCCTCCACTGAATACAGAGAGATAGGGAAATGTGACTAAGAAGTTGCATTTCCACTTACACAGGAAGGGATGACGAGTTTCAGGAGGTGCATAAGGATTCATGTGGCACATGCTCAGGTTTGCAGGTGCCTCCAGAGAGCCAGGTCCTTTCCCACTGCTGCAGTCTAAGGTTCTGCCATAGACACATGGGAAGTTTCTTTTGCTAAATCCTTCTAAAGAAACTCCAAATAAAAATTTTACTTGCAGATTTTAGCAATTATACAAACCCCGGTACATTATAATGCCATATAACTGAGATGATGATTAAATAATTTCTCCTTATCAACCATTAATGTTCTCTGATACAGTCAGTGCTAATTTCAACACCCAGTCTAGATGTCATGGAAATGAAAGGATCTCTTCGGGGAAAAACAGTGTTAAATTCTGCTTCACTGGAGGGTGTATGATTAACTTCCATCAGACACAGAGGTTGGCCTTTGAAAGAACAAGCCCAAAAGATTTTGAGTACCCATTTCCACACCACATACAAAAGATGCTGCAGGAACCAGTGTCTCTCGCTTTATCTTTCTGCCTGAAACAAAAGGTAATAAACTTTTCCCACCAGCTGCCTGCTGTTTCATGTGGGCCTATAAATTGTAATGATGCTTCTCTGTGGTCAGTCACTTGCCATGGAGAAAGATGTTACTCTGTATGGGACAAGTAGCAAAGTCTGTCTTCATTTAAACTGCTAATCTATATACAGACACCACCTCTCTTGTATCCTTAAGCCACCATGTCCACAGCAATATTACTTGTGTAAAGAATCCATACAGTTTTAAAAGTAAACAGTGCTATTCTCAGAAAAAAAAAAAAAAAAACATTTGCAAGATTGCTGTGCTCTCATTTGTTACTGATCCTTTCCTGAAGACCAAAGAATACCAGTGAAATACTGTTTGTCAGTCACCTTAGAGAGTGCCACAGATTTGAGCATTGCTCCTGACAGTGACCACCTGAACATTTTGATCTAGCTGCTATGCAGTCACTTTGTCTAATCACCTGTCACGGCTTCCATTTATCCCACAAATATTATTGGGAAAATGAGTAAAATAGAAGTAAATCCATTTTCCCCACAGTACAACTTGTAATCTGCACCTGATACTGCAGATTTCAGATACAGAATTTCAGGAGAAAAGGAGAGAAAATAGAAAACCAGATTGTATAATTAAGTATAAACTTTTTTAAAAACATGGATTTTTTTTCACGGTATCGAAGTGTCAGTGAGAGGAGTTGCCATCAGGCCATTGCTATCCTGCCTGATGGAAATTGGTTTGGGTGCACAGTTAATCCTTTTTGTAAGTAAAAGTGAAGTAACAGATCTCCTTTGGTTAGTAACTTTTATTCTCAAGCATACCTGCATTTCCAGATGGAAGCAGATCCAGGATAACTTGCAAATCCAGATGGGTAGTGGCACCCTCAGTTGTGGGTAAGAGCAGCCCAAGAAGAAGATAAAGCTGATACTTTCTGCAAAGAAAACGATGCAGTAAGTGACAAGGCAGACACCACCAGCACTGCTACAGCCGAACAGCAGATACTTTATAGGGTCCCTGGTAGGCCAGGCAAGCCAGGAATGAAAGACTAAGCCTTCTATGGATTGAGGCATCCTGACCCCAAGTAACCAACCCCTGTGCTGAGGCTCACAGCCACGCACACAGCTGCCCAAGCAATATTCCCCACTGCAGGGTGTACAGGCAGCTGCATCTGGAGCTGACAGGTTTAGTTTTCCCCTGAGTGCTGCAGAGCAGATCATCCTGCTCTGGTCCACTTTGCCTGTGCAGCTGGGGCACAGCTGCAGGTATCCACGTATAACTATACCCAGTCCCACAGAGGCACTCTCTGGCTACTTGTGCCTTATCCTTACCCTCTGTTTATATCACCCTGACTGGTGTTAAACCCGGCATTTTGAACTGTTGTCCCCTGCCTAAAAGCATGAAGCATATTTGGGGGGTGTGTGTGATTTTGGTGGGAGAGCAAGACAGAAGGAGTATACAGGGCTGTATTCTCAGGACTGTGGTTAGTTAGAGTACCAGGAGGACATATCTTTATAATACCAGGTGCCTTGCTCTGTGGAGAGTGGGGATGGGCAAAGGTCCAGGACTCAGAAGCAGCTGAGCCTCTGATGCAGCAGAAACACAAAGGATGGCAAGCAGGCAGCTCCACTAACAGCCTCAGGCATGGAGCCCAGGCACTCCATGAATTGACAGGAACCTGTAAAGTGGAGTTACTCCAAGTATTATCACACTGGCAACAGGCAGCCCACACATGGAAACTGAGAAAAGAAACTAAGCAGTACTGGCCATAAAACTAATCAGAGACAACATCTAAAGCTGAACATCATGAAAATATAACCCACTTTAAAGTACAAAAAAGTAGTCATAAAATTAATACAGCGGCACGCTCAGCAAAGCATAGTGAAGAAAGGGAGGTATGTGCAATGCATATAAGTGCATGTTTGATAAGCATGTGAAAACATATGGCATCCATAAGTTCCTTTGTATCCAGATGTGGGCAGTGTGGATAGGTAAAGGGAACCCTCAGCACTTAGGGCCCTATGAAACTCCATCTTCCAGCCCCATGGTGCCAGGCGAGATGCAACAGGTCAGCAGCACGAGCTTGCCTTTCATCTGCAAGGTACATACCTCGATATAGTCTTGAGATGCATAGGATTGATATTGTCTCTTTACTGAGAGCTGGTCTGACTGCAGTAAGGTTTCATAAGCCAAGACAGGAGAGAACAGTGTCATCTTTTCTGTATAAGTGGCTATTCAGCTTTCCTCCTGCCAAAAAAATAATGTGATTAAACAGAACCAGGCCTCCAGCTTGTTGTGGGCTGTCAGCACCCAATGTCCTCAATACCTCGGCTTCTGACACACATGCATTACTTTTCTTGAACATCTCCCTAAAGTCTATATAGATCAAGCTATAGAGACTTAGAGAGTAACACTGTGTGTCAAGCCCCCCTTCAGCTAGAAACCTTGAATGTACATGTCCTTTGGTGGCACATTCTGGGAGCTCTCATCACTGAAAAACAGATATTCCTTCAGGCCCATGAGT